GCGCATTGGGCCGCAATGAGGAGCTGGGGCGTTGATGGGCCGCACTGGGGCGTTCACAATCCGGGTTGCATCACTCCTGGGTCGCAAAAAATCGCCAAATGGGCTGAAGGGACCTGGGCTGGGTGCGGGCCACATGCGGGCTGGGAGCGGGCCAACGCGGGCTGACACCTAAGGGCACTCGGGCTTTGCGGGCCGAGTCTAGCCCGCATGATTTATTCTGCTCTCTTTTGGGCCCCATGCGATTAGGCCTCTACACTGGGCTATGGTCGCGGGCTTCTGCGCAACTGGACCACGAACGCTGGGCTGCGGTGCTGGGCTCCCTCTCCATCGCGCTAGACCTCCTCGTTGGGCCAGGCGCGGACCTCCATGGCTCCACCAGGTGTGCGGGGCTGCGGAAAAAACTGCATCTCACCGGAAATTTCTGCCGAAAAAGATAAAATGTCTGCTCCTGCGACGATGGCCATCCGAGGGTGCGCCTCGATGACTAGATTCCGATGGTATTCTCGATTCGAAGGAGTTCGCCGGAAATTGATGGGAAAATGGAGAAGATTACCGGATTTTGACCAAATTATTCTTAGATCCACGAGCTTTGACCGCTAAATTGATGACCCTCCGGTAAGAATTTTTGCGTGAAATTGCAAGGCTAGAACGAGCTTGATGAGAGTTTCACGATGGTACCAACGGTTTTCTGATCGGAAAACTTTGACCGGCGGCCGGTGGCGGAGGTGGCAGCGGACGGCGGCGTCCGGCAGAGATGTAGACTTGGAAACTCGCCTCGACGAGAGGATTCCGGTGGTACCCTCGGATTATCCATAGTCCTCACGGATCGCCGGGAAAACGCATTTGAATATTCGGTTTTGACCAATTTTTTGCTAGATTCGGAAACTTTGACCGAAAAATTGAAGGCCTTCTCGGATGAATTTTCAAACGAAATTTTAAGGGCAGATTCTCCTCGAAGAGATCTATCCAATGGTGTAAGAATCTTTTCGATCCGGCCAATTTGACCGGAGGCTGGCGACGGCAGTGGCGGCCGGCGGTGGTGCCGGTGGCGGCGGCTGCTCGAGTCGAAGGAGTTTTGTTCGAATTTTCAGACGGGACACCATTTGGCTTCTCGAACGGATCCCCACAGACGGCGCCAAAATGATAGGATAAAGATGTCACATGGGCTCTCTCGACTCGGACGGCCACTGTACCTGCAAGAACCCAAAGTCCGGGACCCCGGGAGGGGTGCCCGGCTTTGGGCCTCCGATGCTTAAGTCAGTACTGGATTGATATGAGAATGCATAGAGAAAGAGTAGGGAGAGAGTGTAGAGTGAGAGAGAGTAGTAATGGAATGAGGAGAGAATTCATGAAATGAGTACCTTCTTCCCCTTTTTATAGGGGAGTGTACCTTATAGTCCACGTTGGGCCTGGCCTTGATTGGGCTCGACCCATATTGTCATATCAAGTGTCTTAGCCCATGTATAGGCGTATTCTTCAATATATATCCATAAAAAATGGTCGGGTACGACATGCTATATCAGGTACTACCGGTCGAGCCGGCAGTACTAGCCGTGGCTATATCAAATATTATGTTATCTTCAACATGCTAATTTTATATCGTTTATAATAAACTGATATACCGTAAATTATATGACATGTTAACCCACATCGTTAATTTATAGTTATTATTTAAAATCGTTTACCCTCATCTTTAGTTTATAATATTTTTTCTTTCCTTTTTAAGAGAGGATCAATAGTGGTTCCCCACTTCTTTCATTGGGTGACTCGAGCTTGGTACCTATTTATAATTATTATTTAATGTTATTTACCCGTTCATCGCACGAGATACGCATTAGTCTTAATTGAAGAGACTAGGGTTAGTTTAATTGTTAATTATTATTTATTTGCGTTTATTGCCAGAGAAGGAAAACTTTTTTCTACCCAGTTCGGGAAGACCTACTGCCCTAGACAACTTTCGAACGAAATAAAAGAAATTAGATCCAGGCATTAGCGCAGACTACAGTCAACCTTTGGTTTTGCGAGATATTTACAAGTTCGGGCCTGAAGGTAAAGGGGATACCAATGCATTCACTTCGCTTCGTTCGTTCCCTCTCCGCTGAAAGATACGAAATGGTCAAATCTTTGATGATTCCATCATCTATGATTGAGCGAAGCGCAGTTAAGTCATTGGAGAGAAGAAGTGAAAAGGCCCGCAAAGCCGGTGAATTACTTTACAATATATAAAATATGAATAATTTGCATTTTCTAAGTAATTACAAATTTAACATTACAAAGAAATTAAAGTTTATGAATGTCCTTTTATGTAATTTTGCATGTTAACAGCTATTTAGAGAGCTAATTTACCAAACAATTTTATAACCAACCGCTAACAAGACAGTTGGTCAAAACATCTGACACAATCCGCTAGTCAAAACAACTGACACAATCAACTAACCGCAAACCGCTAATTACCAAACAAGACCAATTCAAGATAGCATATATAGTGTATGTTTGGAATAGTGGCGGACTATGTTCAAGTTAGGGGGCCATTGTCCCCCCAAAAATTTTAATTTTTACTATATATACATATATATATATATATATGATAAAATATATTATTTTCACATAAAATCATACATTTATGTTAAAATAATAATTGTATTACACTTTCTACTAATAATTCAATTACAAATTATACTCTTTTTACACTTTTGTATAATATTTTTTTCTAATTTAAATAAATTGAATGTATGGAAAATATGTGAAAACATAAAAGTTGGTAATTCTTGAAAAAAAAGGTCATATAAAATATGCTTAATGGAAAGAAAAAATATCAAAACTATTAATATTGCGTCAATCATTAATGAAATACATGAGTTGAGAGATCGTTCAATCTAAATTTGTTATTGTCAATGTTTGAAACTTTATAATTCATATTGCACTATTATTATATATAATTTTATAATACAACTTTCTATGTTTTATATACATTAAATTCAAATCTATTATTATTAAAAGAAATATATAGCCCCCTCAAAATAAATTTTTGGATCCGCCTCTGGTTTGGAAGCACTTTTGTAATGGACTTTTGACTATAAAAGTCCATTTTTCTATACATTATTATCTAATATTGTATTATTTTCATTTAATATTATATAATTTATTTTATTATATTTTAATTATTATAAGTTTACATCTTATTAATATAATTTAAAATTTATATTAATTTTAAATTTAATTTGATATATTCATACGTATTATCTATATATATATTAAGTGTTTTAATAACATACAACTTGGATTGGTGTGGTGGTTACAATGCCATAATACAAGTTTGAGGTACCAAGTTCAAACCCCACTGTTGGATAATTTTTTTTTACTGGTGATGTATAAAGCCCAAAATTTGGCCCGGTGATTCGAATTGTCAAAAATAGACAAGGTTATGTTATGTTTGCTAAATTTCAAAAGTTTGGTTAGAACGGAAAAATGTTGTAAGGTCATGATTTTACCGACAATTAGACATTTTTTTATATAAAAAGATGTTTGGTGTAATACTAAAATGGACTTTTAAAAAAGTAACTTCCACAAGAAGTTCATTTCGAAAATTTTATATTGGACACTTCTTGAAAAGTTATCAAAATGTCCATCTTGAAATGAACTTCTCAAATAAGTGTTTCCAAACAAACCCATAATATTACATAAAAAAATTTAATATCAAATATATAGAGTAAAAACTATTTAACTATATTTACTAACTATCAACTTCTCAATAAGATCATCATAATAAATTTAATTTTTTTAAGTCAATAGTTAGCTTCTTTTTTATGCATATTTTCTTTTATCTTATTAATGTCATTTTTAGAGTTAATAACAATTTTAGTTTTTTTTTTTAAAAAAAAAAAATCATATCGGAGACAAGAGATGAAAGTGGATACGCCACGAGTTTCGTTTTTAAAGATCGTTTAAGATTGATTTTTTTTGTTTTGTTTTGTTTTGTTTGATACCATTGTTTCTTATTATATCCACACAAAAACCTTAATAAAAATCTCATTTTTATTAATATACCCTATAATATGGATTCTATTAACATTAATAGCCAAGAGATACTGAATATATATGATTTAGAAAGATTTGCTCGAAATTATATTAGGAACATGCATACATGTTAATTTTAATAATTGTTTGTCCTAAAATGGCTACATATTGAAAATAGGGAATATTTTGATTAGATCGAGAATGGAATATTTGTATTACAGTGAATGGAAATACGATAAATAAATGTCAATATTAAATGTAATATTGATTTAAAGATAGTTAAATATATGTACCAAAAAACAAAAAAAGATAGTTAAATATAGATGACAATAATTTAGTGAGCAAGTCCTCCGGCTCCATAGAATTTCTGTTGCAGGAAAATATATAGTAATGGTTAATTTTTATTTCAAATATTTTCATTGAATTTGAGGAAAAACATATGAGATAAAAGGAATGATATATTTACCTAAAATATTTTGTACACACTTATAATATTCTTTTTTGTATCCAAGAAATGCTACGGTCCTGTTACAGTACAATCTCGTCGGGTGTTTTATCTGCTTGATCCACATGTAGTTAGATAAAATAGATGATCCAACAGTTAAAACACCTGACGAGATGACACCGTAACATAATCAAGAAGAAATTGAAAACTATGCCCCACACGCCCTAAATAACGAGGGAGATTTTATTTTGAGTGAATAGGGACCAACCTCCACAAGTAAAAAATGAAAAAAAAGTAAAAATAATTTAAAATAAATCTCAACTTTATTCCTAATAGTAAATTAGGCCCAAAACGAAGACTACAAATATAAGAAAAAGCCGATTTTCATGACTTAAAAAACAATTTTCCCTTTCATCTTCCACAATACAAATTGTAGAATTATAATTCTACACTCTTCTCTCTCTCTCTCTCATCACCCAATTTCTCTCTCTTGATCACTTGTTTTTCCTGCAAGTTCGAAAAATTTGTAAAGAAATTCATGGTTGTTGTGAACCTGTTTCTGATATGCCTTTCGATAGCGTGCCTCATATTTCTGCTCCGACTGTTCCTCCACCGGACCGCCTTGATATTCGCCGTCCGAAAATGGGCCGATTGGGTCGACGACCGAGTCCACGTCCACCAGCACTTTAGGGTCCCCGAGTTAGCCGATTCCACCCGGCGGCCCAACCTGTTCTACCGCCGAGTCTCCCTCTACCTCAACTCCCTCCCTTCCCTCGAGGACTCCGACTTCGCCAACCTCTTCTCCGGGAACAACGCCAACGACATCGTCCTCGCCCTCGACCACGACCGCCCCATCCATGACCTCTTCCTCGGCGCCCGGGTCTCCTGGGTCAACCAGACCCAGACTGACGACCGGGGCCGGGTCGTGACCCGGAGTTTCGTGCTCCGGATTAAGAAGAGGGACAAGCGGAGGATCCTGAGGCCCTACCTTCAGCACATACACGCCGTCTCCGACGATATCGAGCAGCGGGGGAGGGAATTGAGGGTCTACAGCAACGCCGGCGGCGGAAATTGGACCTCGGCGCCGTTCAACCACCCGTCCGATTTCGATACGTTGGTGATGAATACGGATGTGAAGGCCAAAATCCGGGCCGATCTGGAGACGTTCCTCAAATCGAAGCAGTATTACCACAAATTGGGGCGGGTGTGGCGGCGGAGCTATCTCCTCTACGGCCCCTCCGGCACGGGAAAGTCCAGCTTCGTCGCCGCCGCCGCGAATCTGCTCGGCTATGACGTCTACAACTTCAATCTGTCTCAGGTCGCCGACGAATCGGATCTGAACGCGCTCCTCCTGGGTACCACGTCCAGGTCTCTGATCGTCGTGGAGGATCTGGATCGGTACGTGTCCGCGGGGAAATCGACGGGGGCGGCGGGCATCACGCCGTCTGGCCTACTGAATTTCATGGACGGGCTGTTGAACGTGCAGGATGAGAGGGTTATGATTTTCACGATGAGCGACAAGGACGGGGTCGACCCGGACCTGCTCCGTCCAGGTCGGGTCGATATGCACATCCATTTCCCCAATTGCGATTTCAATTCGTTCAGGAACCTGGCGACCAACTATTTGGGGGTGAAGGAGCACAAGCTGTTCTCGCAGGTGGAGGAGATTTTCCAGACCGGCGCCACCATGAGCCCGGCGGAGATAAGCGAGCTGATGTTGGTGAACCGGAGCTCCCCCAGCCGGGCGCTGAAGTCGGTGATCTCCGCCCTGCAGTCGAACGGAAGGACCGCCGCGCGGCCGAGCGACGGGTCGTCGACGGCTCCGCCGCCACCTTCGACGTCAGAGGACGGCGGTTCCGGCGCGTGGAAGGACGCGGTGATGCCGAAGGAGATTCGTAAGCTGTATGGGATGTTGAGGATGAAGAGCTGCAAGAGAGCTGAGCCGTTCGATCATGATTCGGATATCATTCAACGGTGACAGATTGTTGGTGCCGTGCCCTATTGGGTTTTGGGACTAGGATTTTTATTTCTTCTGTTTCAATTTTCCTTTTTATTTTTATTACATGCGAATCTGCAAATATTAATTATTTCGCGGTGCGAATATTTCTTGTTAGTTTTTTTTTTTTTTTTAAACCTTTGCAAATGTTTTTTTATGACAATTTGTGTTTAATTTCAAAGATTTGTATATGATCATCTACAGAGTAAAATTTGTCATAATGAAGATTATTATGACCACAAGGATTAAAATATTTTAGTGTTCTTTTTTTAATTTTGGGTTAAAAGTTTTGTGCACACGTTTTGAATGAAGGAATTGGTAGATACCATACCAGGAATCTTACCTACGAATACAACAGCAAATTATCAAATCATATAATCCATTAACAATGGCATTATTTTACGAATTGGCTAATAGCATGTTGTATTGTATATGCTAACAGCATATATAAATTAGGAGTAATGCTCACCTACCCACGGTGGACACATGTTAGTATGCTCATCGCTCATGTGGCATGCACTCATTGGTGATGTATTTTTTTTAACAAATTCACATCACCAATGTGTGCATGCCACATAAACGGTGGATATATTAACATGTGGCCCCCGTGGATAAGGGATCATTATCCTATAAATTATAGTTGATTGTTAGCTAATTTGGCTAGTTATTCTACTAGCTAATTTGGCTATATGATTATTTTAATTGATAGAGGTTTATTGCATTAGCTAATTTGACTAGTTGTATAATTGTATTGTATTAAATAACTATTTATTGATAGTTTTTTTTTTTTT